GGGGGGGGGGGCTGTAATGTTAAGGGGACTCTGATGTAAAGGGGGAAATTCAACTTTGTGTATTTTTGCTAGGGGATCCCCCCCTCTTTAAAATCCATATCAGACCCATATTTTCAATAAGGGTGTGGTATGGATTTTGGGGGGGGGGGGGCTGTAATGTTAAGGGGACTCTGATGTAAAGGGGGAAATTCAACTTTGTGTATTTTTGCTAGGGGATCCCCCCCTCTTTAAAATCCATATCAGACCCATATTTTCAATAAGGGTGTGGTATGGATTTTGGAGGGACCACATGTCCTTTTTTACATTTTAGACTGGGGTGCCTCGAGATTTTGCATACTTTTAAAAGGGTGCCGTGACTGAAAAAACAGGTTGACAAACGATGTCCAGAGGTACCAGTTAATCTCTTTACTGTTCTGATCTGTGGATCGACCCCTCAAAAACTCTGGTGACACTTCCCACTGCCTCCCACAATCCAGCGTGTGGTGCCTGAGCAGCCACAGGTGACTACTGTCAAATGGGGGCCAATAAGGGGCATGCATAGCCTTATGCAAACACTGACTTTCACAAAGTCAAGCCCTACAGCAGTTGATTAGGGCAACAAGAAAACATCATGAGGAGTGATTTCTACAAATCCTAAGGGTCTGTTAAGTACATTTCTACTGAGTACTGGTTTACTTTAAAAGCAGCTAATGCTAAGCACAGCAGCTCACAGTACAAATCAGAGCAGCATTCATTCTGAATAACGAAGGCTCATGATGTGCACCACTTTTATATATATTAGATATATACACACACCCATGCACAATTGCACATGCAGATATTCACATTAACATTCAATGATTTAATTACAATGAGGGTTGGGTCACATTAGATTTAAAAAGAACACAATAATTGTATGTCAATATTCGATGAGGAACAAGTCAGTTATTGGATACCATGCAATGTAGAGCAAGGGACAGGTACAACGTTCCTCCTGGCAGGTAGGAATTAGCACTTCCATTGACTTGTTCTATTAACCTTTAACATGTAAAGCTAACCATACATGGCTACATTTCTGTTGTTCAGCCCGCAAGCTGAACAAGAGAGAATCAATCAATACCCCTATCAATGCTAGGGGTATTGATGGAGGAACATGCACTGCCAACTATTGTATTCAGGCAGCTGCTGCACCCACCGCTGCCTGAATACAATAACCGGCAGTTATGATTTCTCCATCAATGCTGTTTAGCATGGATAGGGGAATTGTTGGGATGCAGGGACTGTTTGGGTGATAATTTGCCACATGGCTTAGTTGATTTTTTAAATGGACTTTTGTCAAGCCCACGGATCCAGTTTTGGTAGATTTAACACGAGTCAATGACATTTAAGCCATATTTGGCCAGCTAGTGTTAAAAAAGATCAGTCCTCTCCACGTCAGTGACATTGCAAGGATGTTACAAAGCATCATTGCAGACTCCTACCTCCTGCTGTTTGTAGGAAACTCACACCTAAGTCCAGCTTCCTGTGTGCTAAGTGGGAGGGTCTGCCTACCATAGACAAATAATCAGTCCCAGTGTAGTAATAAGAGAAGAACTGATGGAAAAGGCAGTAAGCCAATCACTCAGGAGGGAATTAGATTTTTGGTACCATTCTTAAGGCTTAGAGTGTCCCGAACGCCACCCAGGTGCAATAGTTAGAAAGGAAAGACTTGTGGGGCCTTTGTCAGTGTAGGTAACGCATAACTGGTAGCAGGTTGCAATGAAAAGGTACATGTTAAATAGCATTACACTACAAAAAGGCAATCATATATTTTATCACTAACAAAAATGAAGCACACCCATTAAAATTGTATAAAATTTGTAGCCACTTCAATCTTCTCTACTGCCCCAGGAATCCCAGGGCAGTGCAGTGTTAAGGGTTGGCTCACCCCATCTCACCTTTCTATTGGCCCACCACAGCGGTGGGCATATAGGATGGTAAGGAATAGTCAAATATGCCCTATTGTGGAAGATGCCTAAATCTGCTGCTTTGCTTGAAAACACTGTGCCATATGCAGACAATGCACCACAGAACACTGTTAAATCAAGGCAAGCAGTATGTATGTGCATTAACTGCTCCCCATTGTGACAATAAATCACATGTGTTACTATACAGGATATTAAATCTATAAAACCTGAATGACAACGTCTCAGCAATGCAACTGCAAAGCTATTGTACATAACTATAGATACTCATTCTGGCTCTTCAACAGGGAACACCCACTTCACAGAAAATTATCCGTGTATGTGTCATTTTTCAAGCATGCAGAGTTGCTTGAACCGGTTAATCTCTTATATATAGAAGCAGATAAATTCTTTTCAGGTGACAGGCTGCAGAGTAAAACTATTGGATGAAGCACAAGATAGTGATGTTCTTGTATGAGAAAAGCATTCAGAAAGAAGAAGATGACCTCAGGGATGAAGGAAGTTCCACAGGAAGTATTTGCCAACTGACCTTCAACTACCAGGCTGCTCCCCGGCTGCTGGAAAGGCTGAAACTGGCAGGGCCCGGTTGAAAAGCTAGCTGGCAGCATCCCTTCAATTCCTCCTCCAGCTGGGCACCAATACACTGCGGCCTGATGGGGAGAAGACACAAGAGACAACATTAGTCTATATGTTATGTTGCACAACTATAATAGAAGAAAACATAACAGGCATGGATAGACACAATCCTGTCAACCATGCTTTAAACTGCTCATCAGCTAAAGTGGAATTCCAGCCACAACTTCATAGGTTCTAACCCTTCCCCATTCTATACAAAACTAAGATTTGGGGGTTTGGGTTTCACCTGTAAACCATACAATCACATATATCTGTTTATCTATACAGACACTGTTATATTAGCACACTCCGGGATGTCATCAATTTCGAAGTGTCCTTCTACCAACATATTTGACAGATACAATGATCCCTTACTGCATTTTATTGACCTTTTAGTAAATGTATGGATATTTTGGGGGGAGATTTTGTATTCCATGATGTTCTGGTTGAAGGTTTCTCTGTGGGAGGAATTAGGGTGAAATCTAACTAATCTAATTTATTGCCGTTAGTGAGAACACTAACAGCAATAAAAACCGGACAGGGTTTCTAACCAACATCTGATCTGGTCCACTCTAGTCTTGGCTCTACTCTCCTAACCAAGGGCCCATTTACACCAGGGCAGTCCGTTGCAGTGTACCTACCCACTTGTGTTGTAAAGTAGCCACCGCTCCAAGCTCGCCCCTGTGATGGACTACAATCTCAATACAAATTAGTAAACTAAACATGAGACTGTAGTCCCTCACGGGAGTGAGCTTGGAGTGGTGGCTACTTTACAACACACACAGGGACCATGGGAAACAAAAGTAGCCACCCTCCAGAAGGAAGGACAGTGTCATCACCACTTTAGAGATGATTGGAGGATCTACAACGGAGTGATACACAAATCAGATACATTTTTGTTAGTAGTTAAGGTACTTGAATGTATTTTAAAGATTTAACAGAGCTTAGTGTCACTTTAAGGATAAGGCGGTACCCTAGAGATAGCCCAATAGTCACCCAAATATCATGCAAATCTCATAAAAACATCAGAAATTACATAATGGGAGTCTAATGTATTTTACATTCTCCCTTTAACTAGTTCCTTGGTGGACTTCTCTTGCATACAGGGATGTATACGATATCTATTATGTGAGGTTTTGGAGAAAGCTGAACACACGATCTGCTGGGATTTGCGCTGGCTTGGATATTTTAGTCTTCTGTAATGAAACAAGGGTTCAGCTAAAGTTTTGTGTCGCTATGCACTTATTTGTTAACAAGGAATTATACAAGAAATTCAGCTTTGCAAAAAAGTGATTTCTAGCATTGTGACACTGTGCAGTGTAGAAATCAATGCAGTACTTCTGGTTTGTCATGTGAGAGTCCGAGGATGCTAGAGCACATTCCTAGTCAAAGTTCACAGAAATTAAATGAGGAAGGCAGGCGATGGTGTTATCAGAAAAAGAGGCAGTTCCTTTATAGGTCCTCTTACTGCTGAGAAGTCACTGCAACAAGGACAATACTAACTTTTCACAATCACCGATATGTGACTTTCAAACTTACAGAGTACGTGAATGCCTGGAAGAGCAGTTGTGTGTGTTAAAAACATATCGGAAACATTGGCACCATCATCTCCTAAAATGCTGAAGTCTCTAAAATGTTCCACTCCTTACTCTGGCTTCATACTTGGAACTAATTTGCGGCTGGTAAAATCCGTTTTGATAATCTTGTAGTGCAGGGGTAGGCAACCTTGCCACTCCAGCTGTGCTGAAACTACACATCTCAACATGCCTTTGGCTGTCATTAATCTTGTAATGCCTCATGGAACTTGTAGCTCCACAACAGCTGGAGTTGTCAGGTTGCCTACCTCTGATGTAGTGTATGGGTTTCATTTACATTATTTATGAGTAAAACCACAATAAAAGGGAAAAGGTGTACAGCTTGAAGGAAGAATTGAGGTCTGCGTTATTGCTACTCAGGCCCGGATTTCCCACAAGGCCAACCAAGGCCCGGCCTTGGGGCAGCAGGGAGTAGAGGGGCAGCAGGGGTGTGGAATTCCTATCTCCTGATGCCCAGGACATGCAGTTCTGGGTGCAGGGCAGGTAGTTTTCTACATCTAGCCCTGCTTTGGGCAAACAGAGCTAAATGTACAGCAGGGAACCCGCTGCTTGTTTTGTACAAGTGATCTCGGAGATGTCGCTGAGATCACTTGTATGCAGCCTGCAGGTCTGCCATTCTCCATGGTGGGTTGGGGGGGATTGGCGGTTAGGGGCGCATTGGGGAACCTGGTTTCGGGGCAGCAGAGAGTAAATCCGGCCCTGTTGCTACTTGTTTATCATAATAAAGTATTGTTGCTGGCTTGTATATACATGTATCTCCCTCTCTCTCCTCTTTCTAGCCTGTATATATAGTATAGTAAAAGGTATATATCTCAATCACACGCGCACACACACACACACTATAAATATGCATCACATTATCTGTGTACATATTGTCCTATTTCTGTACGCTAAGAAAGTACTGTTGCTAGCCAGTTTTTCCATTTTCAAGATGAAAAAATATCAGTGATCTGGACCATGCGGACAGTACTTGTAGCAAAGTGTGTTAGCAGGTACCCAGCTCCATCGGATTGTACTTTGCCTTATATACACAGCAGTAAGAGCTAATGATTATACATGGATGAAGCAATAGCATGTGCAAAGCAAGGGCAGCTAACCCTGTACAGATGCTTTTTTCTTTGTACCCTTGTAGGCAGACCCCACCCTTCCCTTCACACTAGATAAGCACCGATCTTACTCCCAGAGTCAAATACTTCTAACCGGTTTGCAGTAAACGCCACAATTGATCCCATGCAGCTTAAAGTAACTTCAAGAGTCTATTGACGCTGCCCTCAACAGTAGTACCCTAAAGTAATGAATGTAACGTGACTGTAACAAAAAGTGAAACGGCAAGCGCTGCTCACTTTACTAAACACAGTTAAAAATGATTTCAAGCCAGTTACCTACATCAGGCTTTGTGAGACATTGCACTTGCAGTGTGTTATGTGCACTGGTCTGTGTTCTTGGAAATATCTTGCTTGAAATAAGTGCTTTCCTTTATTTAGCTGTGCTGTTCTCTCATGGAATGTGTGAAAACCAGTGCACTCTGGGGAGATTAACACCCTGCTAACCAGCCAATCCAAACGCTGCATTCACTTACAAAGAGATCTCTTTAGCCTATAATCTGACAGAATGTTCCACATAATTACAGTCACGCTAATGAGTATGAATTTAAAGGAGCAGACTCTGGTGCTCGCAGAGGTTTAATAGACCAAAACAATAAACTGGGACAATATGTGAACAGATGAGAAACTGTCAGATGATGAACAGACTAATAAAAGTGTATCTAAAGTCAAAGAAATTAAAAAATTGCAAGCAGGCAGGCTCTTTGTTGCAGGAGACATCTCCTCCAAACATAACCGTCTGTATGCAATCTTCTGTGTATGTGCAGCTCAGTGTATATTCTCTGGTGATGGAACAAATGAACTCTAGTGGGCATGTGTGGGAGTTACGTCATCCCCCCACTGGCCAATCAAGATGGCTGAAGACCCGGCACCTTTAGGGCTAGTTCACACCAGTCCGTTCAGTTTGGATGCTGCATCCAAAATACATCACAATGCTTTCCAATGGGTTTTCTGGTGCCCCATTCACAGCAGTGCAGTCCATTCCAATGCAGTAAAAAAAAAATTGCAAGAGTATATTATAACATGACTTTGAGCACCCAGTTATCTTATGAGGTGGTGGCGAGGCACCGGGACGTCACCTGTGCCTCCCTAATTCCTCCCCAGGCACGGGCCAAGGTCATTTTTTCCCCCAGGTACTCGGTTTACAAAACAGGATTTTAAAGTCTTTGGTGTTGGGGGAGCAGGGGGCTTGAAAAAAAAGGCATGGAAGGTCCGCTGTAACAGAATAATCCCCATATAGCAGCAGTACAGGAAATGCTGGCTGTGCAGATCACTAGTAGAATTAAATGCAGTTTTCATTTACTAAACTAAACCTAAATCACAGATATAAGCTTTAGTACATTAAGGCTGGGTTCACACCTGGGCGTTTCCTATGTGCGCGTTGTACGCGCGCTTTTTTCCAGACTTTTTTGAGCGTATTGTCTAGCTTTTTTTTCACACTTGAAAACGCGCGATGTACGCGCGTTTTTTGATTGACTACAGAGGCGTAAGAGGAACTTCACTTCTGGGTAATTTCTTCCAAAGATCCCTTCTTACCTTTGTACCTTTTACCTTTTTCCCCCCAGGTTTGTTTACATTGTGGATAGGGGAGGGTTACAATGGTTCAAAGTTGTTTTGCGGTAAGAAGGTTCGCCTTAAAGGAGAACTATGAGGTGAGTGATTTTCACTCATCCTCATAGTTCGAGCCGAAGTGTGACAATGAAACTGTCACACGTCGGCTCAATAGATCGAGAAGTGAGAGAACACATACCGTCGCTCGTTCACTTCTCGATCATGTCCCTGCAGAGATCCATGACTGTCAATCACGGCTCCCTGCAGGGAATCCCCCCTCCCCTCTCCGATCCTCCAGCGCCGTGGAATGGACAGGGGAGGGGGTGGGTACAGCTGGCTCTGCCTCTAGATAGGCAGAGCCAGCTGTCAATCACGCAGCTGTGTGGATCTCGACAGTGGTCTCAGTATACCGCAAGCTGTAGCTCGCTGTATACTGAACTTTGGGTCATGCGAGGACGCTAGTTTGTGTCCTCCGTGACCCTTAGGAGAACTATGGGGAAAAAACACTTACCCCATAGTTCTCCTTTAATGTAATTTCAAAAGTTGTTTTCAATCTTTTAAAATGTGCAGCTTCAATTAAAAGAATAACAGGTTGATCCTGCCAGAAGGCACTTGTTCAGACACTTCCGGTTATAGGGTGACAACGGTCACCTGTCTAATGCTGTTACCCTGTCACTACAAATGGCTGTTCTGAGACACATTGCATGCTCCACTGTGACAAAACCAGAAGGTCGGTGCAGAGCGATGATGTGCAGTCGACTCTACAGCAATGCATGTAGACAGGAA